TCAAGGTTAAGGGCAGACGCCAAACCCTACAAACTTGTGTATGTGCTGCTCCGTCGGACCTGCACGTGTGCCGCCGTACACTTTCCCGGTTAATGACGGTACGAGTAAGCCAGCACCACCGCAGCCACTGCCGTACTGAGCCTTGGCCTGGTGATTGATTCGGACCCAACCTCTCTCTAATTTTTTTCTATTTAATTCTATTTTTGATGCTGGATTGTTTTTTCTGTTTTTCTATATACAACGTCATACATATATCTAAAATTAATTAATTAATATTATTTTCATCTTTTCATGCTAGCTCAATTATTCATAGTTCAGGTGCTAATATTACAAAAGATAATACTTATTTTTTATTTGTCAGTAATCACTAAGAGCATGTTTCAATTGAATATATTCTGGTATTGTTTTTTTAAGTCAATGTGGTAGGCAACCTTACCGTTGCTCAGCCTCTTTGTAAAGTGAGCAAGGTTAAGGACGTTTCCTGACCCTCACAAAGCGGGGAGCCTTTTTGACTTAGGTCAACCTTTGTTCTTTTTTAAGTGAATCCTAAAATGAAAAATCATTATGTACTCAAATAAAGATTTGAACAATCATTTGTCACAACAGATGTAAAAAATTAAAGAACGGGAGTTCATAAGGAAATTTGCACCGCTTTGTCCGAGGTATCTAAGGAAGCCGACACAAGGTTTGTGGATTCTGTTAGTGCACCTAACCCTCGTAAAATGGCTACCGAAGTTGAGGCTATGCTGTTTAAACACCGGGGTTTGAACGATACTTCGAAGGCAGTTGGTCAAAAGTACAGAGTTCTAGTTGGTGCTATAGTCCTACCTGGGGACAAAGATTTGCGCAGAGACCTTCTTCTTGGAGAGATCACACCAGAAGAGTTGGCCAACCCGTCCACACTTGAACTGCATGTGAAGTACCCGTGTCGCATGTTTATCTAGGGCACATTTTTCTCTGGTAAAGGTAAAACAATGACTGCATCTGCATGCAATATCTTCATGTCCTTTAATGCTTAAGAAATGAGTACGTTTATCAATGCTTAAGTAATAAACCAATCACAAATTTTCATGTCCTTTAATTTCTAAAATTTTGTTTACAAATTTAGTCTCCCTAGTATTACCCTATTCCAAGTCATGCCACATAGAAATTGGCATTTAAGTTGAAAAACATTGGTGTTGTCATTTTTTACCATTATTGCTGATGTGGACTTTTTGAAATCTTCTTTGGAGATGCTCTTATGTTTTATTCATTGTTATTCCACCCTGTGTGTAATGATATTATATGCTTTTGTATTTGTGTGAAATTTGACGAATGGGACTTGTTTTAGGGGAACTTGAGTTGAGATCGAGATGTTGCTAGTGATTTTCTCTTTTCATTTGAAGCTAGTCTATATCTAGTTTTGCCCCGGTATACTTGTCTAGCAAATGATGATAGGACATGAAGGGACACCAACTATTTGTACTATGACATTTAGTGTACAATCCAACACCAAGATGTAAATAGTTGAATCCTCGAACATTGGTAGAGATGGAGGCTCATTTTGACCAAGATTATTCCACCACAGTTGAAAAGAAGGTTCCTTTAACTGTAAATCTACCTGGTAATCCCAAAAAAATCTTGTAAACTCAACTTGGCCAAAGAAGAAAACCCAAAAAAACACAAAAACCGGCCCGGGATTTGAACAAGATCGAAGTTGAGATCCGAGAACCTATAGAACAGAAGGGCAAAGCGAAGTTGTCCAATGATGGCTGAACTTCTTCACGGAAAAGAATCTTAACCAGGAAAACATTTACCACCCAACTCCTAACTACCCTAAAATAACGAGCTATTCTAACTTGAGGAGCAAGTAACCAAAGACATTGAAGTGGCCAACTTCGTCGAGGCATTTAAACAAGCAGCTGGTGATCGAACCGAGGTTGAAAGGAGGAAATCGTTTTACTGGACGTGCAGGGATAAGTTCAAGTTAACTTGGCGTCAGTATATCTGCGGAGTTGGATGAAAAGAGTGTGGAAGAAGAGGAGGAAATTTTGAATATCTAACGTTACAGAGAGGAGGCGAGAGAACTGCGGAAGCGAGGCGGCGAGGGAAAGAAGGCGGGTTGGGTTTGCGAACAAAGAAAAACGGGTTCTCTATTGGGCCTATCATGGACATATTGGACAGGTGGGCTGCTGTATTCTTTGGTGTGGTTAGTTTGTTTTAATAAAAGAGAAGTGACTTCCGCAAGCATCATTTGTTCCGTCTACGTTTTGTTTATTTCTGTCTTTTAATTATTATTTTTAATTTAAACTTTGAAAAAAAAAAAAAGAAGGAATGTTTGGAGAAGGAGTAAACGAGTATGCATAACTTGGTTTTGAAGAGAAATATACTCTCAAAAATACTATTACTATAATAGCATTATTTTTCATTTTTCATTTTTGTCATGCTAACGTGTTATATTATTTACATTCTTATATACATGAATGTATAGATTATGAATGTAAGTAAATAATATAAGTTGCTGATGACGGTGGGTGGTGAGATTGACACAAACGTCCACTTTATTGAACCACAATTTGAATAAATTTGAACCACAATTTTGTATGTTGGACTTCGAATAAGTGTAAAGCAGTTAATAAATTTGAACCACAATTTGTATGTTGGACTTCGGATAAGTGTAAATCAGTTAATAAATTTTAGAGAGTTTTAATGAAAAACTTATGCTACTGTTTACTTTTAACAAAAAATTATTTTTTTACTTTTTTTTTTTTTCTGGTACAATTCACTTACACGTTTATTTTTTAGTTTCATTAAAACTAGAATTTTTGAGAACTTTTTGTTAGTTTTTCTTAAATTTTATCCACAATTTGTGATTTCTGAAAAATCTTGAGTACTTTTCTACATCCAAATATCTGTTTGTGCCGCTGATACTCTGAAATACTAATAATTAAATACAAATGATAGGTCATTTTTGTGAAGACATATTTTTAAAGTTTACACAAAAATGAACCCATGCAAGTTATTGGCTTGGCTTGGCTTGGCTTATATGCGTTCCCACTGTCTGGTCCAGTTGCAAACTTTGACTGTACGAAACGAAGACAAAGAGCCAGCGCTGCTTGGCTTGGCTTGGCTTGGCTTGGCTTGGCTTGGCTTATATGCGCGTTCCCACTGTCTGGTGCAAACTTTGACTGTACGAAACGAAGACAAAGAGCCAGCGCTGCTTGGCTTGGCTTGGCTTGGCTTGGCTTGGCTTATATGCGCGTTCCCACTGTCTGGTGCAAACTTTGACTGTACGAAACGAAGACAAATAGCCAGCGCTGCTTGGCTTGGCTTGGCTTGGCTTATATGCGTTCCCTTGGTGGTCGGCTGTGGCTTCAGCGAGCACACCTTGGATCCCTTGGGTTTCTCCTCGTTCAAAACTCCTATCCCAAGTCAATGAATGATTTAGATTCAGAAATGAAACAGATAATGGAATAAACAAAAATAATCCCATAATACAAAAAAATAAAAATGGAGGGGTGCATGTTTACCTGATAGAGGCATTCCGGCGGTGGAGCAAAGACTTTAGCAAAACTCAGACGACGTGTTGAGGTTTTGAGAGAGAATGAAGTAATATTACTAATAGGAAATGAATATTGAATTCTCCGATCAAGGGTACTAATAGGTAATATTTTCAAGGTACAACCATTGTACCCTTTGTACCCTTGATCAAGGGTACAATGGTTGTACCCTTGATCAAGGATACTAATAGGTATTATTTTCAAGGGTACAATGGTAATATTTTCAAGGGTACAACCATTGAAAATATAACAAATTTGCGGATGTGGACAAGGTAATATTACTTTTTCAAGGGTACAATAGGAATTCAATGTTCATTTCCTATTATTAATATTACCCTTGAAACTCAGACGACGTGTTGAGGTTTTGAGAGAGAATGAAGTAATAATCCACGCGCCTAGTGAAGTAATAATCCACGCGCCGTGCATAGTGAAGTAATAATCCACGCGCCGTGCCTAGTGAAGTAATAATCCACGCGCCGTGCATAGTGAAGTAATGATCCAAATTCCTAGGCTGAGTTTGCTTCATTCTCTCTCTCAAAACCTCAACACGTCGTCTGAGTTTTGCTAAAGTCTTTGCTCCACCGCCGGAATGCCTCTATCAGGTAAACATGCACCCCTCCATTTTTATTTTTTTGTATTATGGGATTATTTTTGTTTATTCCATTATCTGTTTCATTTCTGAATCTAAATCATTCATTGACTTGGGATAGGAGTTTTGAACGAGGAGAAACCCAAGGGATCCAAGGTGTGCTCGCTGAAGCCACAGCCGACCACCATGGTTGACGGAGACAAGAATGGTGATAGGACCACCTTCTCTGGTAGTTGCACAACCGCAAAAGTAAAAACGAGTTGCCAAAGTTCAAAAATGAAAGAATTTAACAACTTCAAAGATAATCTTCAATGTTTATGGGATACTCTGGTCGGCGAGTGTCAACATGGACCATTGTTTGATCAGATTTTGTTAAAGTGCATGGATTATATAACTGCATTGTCACGGTTAGTGTTCAAAATTTTCAAGTTCTTATTGTTAAAAGGTGCGTTTATCTGTTAACTACTCTCGTTTGAATTGCCCCTGTTTTATGTTAAAGCAGCAGTCCAAGAACTTATCGTCAAGCTGCTACTTGGAGGGCTCTGCAGCTGATCACATCATTTATATCTGTTGCCAACACACTTGCTACCAGGCGAGAAACTACTCGTATACAATTAAACGCTGAACAAAAGATAGAAACTGAGGGACATCGTGTGGAATCACTGAACAAGAGGCTCTCAATGACTCACGACAAGATAACTACATTAGAGCAGATGATGTGCAAGATACCAAAAGGGTAGGATATTCTGACTCAGCATCATAAGTAAGAAGCAAAGAAAACTGATATGATTTCATAAAGTTCCTGTTTTATCATAATCCTTTAGTTCTTTTTCACAGTTTAATCCATCATTGTAGGTTGTTTGTGCATTGCTATCGCTATCGTGAGATCGATCCAAATATTTGGATTTCTTGCACAGAGTCACTGTTTTTGCAGGATGTATACTTACATTATATTGGATTGGCATTGAAGGACAAGGTAAGCTTGGGATTCTTGATCCGTTGGCTTAAGTTGTTTTCCCTTCTACTCGTGTTGGACAAACCTCATTTATTTTCGCCCTGTTTTGCTTCTAAGAGGGCTGGTGTAAGAATCGCTTTTGTCCATGCATTGAAAAATCTTCATGAGATTGATGCTAATGTTCCAAGTCTCGGTCGATTCACTAGAAGATTTTCAAGTCAAATGATTACTCTTTCTGGCGACATTGACATTTCCGTAGCTATATCTGAAACTGACCTGGTTAAACAGCTACTACTAAGGTGACTGCCCTGTTTTTGGAACTCATTCAAAATTAACAGTTCCTTGTTTACTGTTTTTTTCAAAATCTCTTTGAATTAGGTTAATTTTCTCTATGTTGCAGACACCAGCTTCTACCACCGGAGATCAGGCATGTGGTAAGACCATTAGAGTATGAACACTTGATTCCTCAGGAGCCCAATGGCTCCCAATCTGGTGCAAAAGGTTTCACTCCTTCCGAACTCTGTTTCACTTCGTGGATATCATTGTTTGTATTCTTTTATGTTCTTTTTCTCCATAATTAGGAGCACAAAAGTTTTTCACCCATAAATCCCTCCTTCCTTATTTGTGGTGCAGGTGTTTCATGCTATGAACATGGCACCATTAATATTGCTCACCGCTGGGGAAATTTTATTTGTGTTGGAGTTGATTCAAAGTTGACCGATGCCTTGACTGGACATGTGACTGATCTTACTTGCAACAAGTTCTATCGATTAAGTCATAACATATACATTACAATGGCTGGATTTAGGATGGCTTGGGAGGAAATGTGGCAATGGATAACATCAGTGGTAACTGAAAACTCTCAATTTTTTTTTTCTTTTACTCAAAATTATATATATTAATTTTCAATTGGATGGTGATAGTTTCTAACAATACCTGAGGAGTTGCACACGGTGGAGCTAGCGGCTAATCTAGCCTATCATTTTGTTAGTCCCTATGGCAGAGTGGGCAGCCTTGTTTTGGGATGGGACAACACAAGCCCACATCCGAAAATGTTTCGAGTGATCGCGGGTGAATCATTTACGACTAGTGATAGTGCTATGGCTCTTGGTACAGGAGAAGAATAGTAAGTTTTAATAATTTTGTTCGAACTGTGAACTTCGTTTTTGTGGTATTTTTTTTTTTTTTTTAAACAAACGATATTATCTATGGGTTAACCTTCATAATGGACTAGCGACAACATAGTTCAAATTCGCCTTTGACTAGAATTGAACCTAAAACCTTGGTATTGCTTTTGTATTTATATATGGAAATTATTATTATTATTATTGAGAATATAACGTACTAATTATGTAGAAAATATTAGTATTTTTGTAAATATAAAATACTAATTATTTTGTTGGTTAATTTGTAGTATAAACATGCGGTATCTGACCGATTATTATCATGACGAATTACCACATGCCTTCCAACATACAATGTTACTACTCAACCAAGCCTGCGTTTTAGATCGTTTTTGTGGTGGAGTTGTTAGAGGTAAAAATCATAATTTAAAATTTGTTAATTATTATTACCAAAAAAATGTAATAAATTGTAACATTTTTTTTTTTTTAAATAAAAGTTGTGCTTATATTTAATTTACTTTTTAATTGTAGGGCGGGTACTGCAGAAAGATCAGCCACCATCGTGCCTGTATCATAATTTCTTCAATTAGGTCATGACGAATGAAGTTGGGTTCCAGGATTCTGCTCAAGATCGCAAGTCTGCATCAAGGGGAAGAAGCAGTCCTAATGGTTGTATTGGCTTAGCAAGTATTTTGGTAAACCATGAAACCTGTGTTAGCTTGGAAACCCGTAGGTAGTAGCTTTAAACATTGAAGCTTAACTTAGGTTGGTTGTTAATATTTACCACTTGGTTATCCGTATCCGTGTGATGTATGTTTCCTTGCTTGAATGTTGAATCGTAACTTTCGTGGTTTGTAATGAAGAATTTGTTGAAAATTATGTATTATAATATTAATTTACAAGATTTTTAATTTTAATATGTGAATGAAAATATGTGTGAATGGTTGCGTTGTTCCAGATGCAAACATGATGCCAAGTAGTGAAGAACCAACGGTTTTGGTTTGAAATATTGCATATTTTCTATTGGAATCACCTTAACATATAATGTGAGTAGGGCAACAAAGTTCGGAGAAACAAAGTAAAGCAATAATGTAATTTCCATTGAGATCATGTACTTACGTTTGTGGTAAATCAGTGAAATCACAGATTGAAGTCAATGGCATCAAAATTTACATCTGCGATACTTGATTTCGAACCCGAACAGAACAATCTGCAAATCCATTCTGCTAATGATCTCCATCATCAAGCGAGGCAGAGAAGCCGAAAATATCACTTCTTAGTGCCTGAGAACCCTTGTTTTCAGCAGCAGCATCACCATCACCATCACCATCTTCGCCATTTGCCTCGCCTGCTGTCGGTCGTGGAGGAGACGAAAAGTCTAGGCACAACCCTTGTACAACTTGTTCAAATGAAGCAGAGAGGTCTTGGGAGGTGAGCTGGTGGTACTCCACAACCTGGTGGAGGCATTGATTTTCTCTAACCAGGTTTGAATTTTCATTTGCTAGTCTTGACCTCTCAGCTAGCAGTGCCTCCAACTGAAGCGTCACCAGATCATCTTCCTCAGACCTCAACCCTTTATCCAGCCAGTCTCGGAGACTTCGATTCTCCTCCTCCAGCAGAGCACAGCGCTCTTGCATAAAGCATAAATCCGATTTTATCGACTTGAGTTCCCGGGCAAACGAAGCTGCTTTTGTTGCCAGTGAAATTGCAAGCTGTGGAGAGATAATCACACAGTTAGCAATCAACTCAACTATTTATTAACTAGTGGAGAATTTCCACTGGCGTTTCCAATGGTTATATTCGTAATTAGCTGGGGAAGAAGTACCAATCAAGGTGAGAGACCGGCGAGTTTCTGCGGCAGGGTGGCGGAAGGTCCAGCGCAGGTTGAACTCGTTTCTTTGAAGTCATCGGCAGGTCGACCTCGTTTCTCATGGTTCTCAGTGCTCTGAGTCTGAGTGTGAGCCCTAGTCCTACTCAACAACGAACTCACCAAATCAGCTCAAATTTTGTACAGACAATTTCATATAATTGAGAGAGGGAGAGAAAGAGAGAGGAGAAATTAATGAAACGTACTCGACGGTGGTTCCGTAGCAGTGGCTGGTGAGAGAGTGAGGTGGCTTTTATAGCTTTGGAGTGGGCCCCGGGTCCATGCGAGTTGCACACGGAGTGTGAGGGGCAAGTTTTCACATATACCATTTTGGTTAAAAAGTCTTCACTTATATCCAATAGGATCCTTTTTGGATCCTTTTGATGAAGATCCTACATCCTTTTGATGAAGATCCTATGGATCCGTAAATCGCGTTCATTCATTGTATATTGTGTGGTTAATATTTATCAAGTACTATTTGTGTTTAATTTTAAATAAAAATATTTAAAATGATTTCTGACTGCACGATATACAATGAACGAATACGAATACAATTCATGAATTTTTGTGATCCTCACAAAAGGATCCGCGCGAGCATCCGGATTCCACTCATATCATGTAACAATAATTACTTTTTCGTGGTTTTGGAGGAGGCCCTAGTTTCCAAATGTTGCTCATAACGCATTTTTGTCTCGCTCTCTCCATTATGGCCTCCCCCTCCCTCGCATCTGTCACGAAGATACACTATTACTCATCTCTCTCTCTCTCTCTCTCTCTCTCTCTCTCTCTCTCTCTCTCTCGTCCTTGCTTATCTCTTCTGCCTCCTCCACCTTCCGCTGTCTGTCTCGCTTGTTTCTCTACAATGTAATATATCATGTGATGGAATGCTATGAGATTCTAACGGCCTTGCTTATCTCTTCTGCCTCCTCCACCTTCCGCTGTCTGTCTCGCTTGTTTCTCTACAATGCAATATATCATGTGATGGAATGCTATGAGATTCTAACATTGTCAACATTGTCTATGTGGGCAACATTTGTCCACCTGGCACTCCTCACACTCCGTGTGCAACTTGCATGGACCCGGGGCCCACTCAAGATCCTCCCAATCCACAGCTATAAAAGCTACCAAACTCTCTCGCCAGTTTTTTAGAACTTTGAATCAACTTTGATAGAACTTGTTTGATTTTATATGATGTCAAGACTTATCCAATTTTGCATAAGAATACTTAGTTTAGCTTGCTTATATATATTGAATCCTTCACATATATATATATATATATATTTTTTTTTTTTTATATGATGTCAAGACTTATCCAATTTTGCATAAGAGTACTTAGTTTAGCTTGCTTATATATATTGAATCCTTCATATATATATATATATATATATATATTTGAACGTCCTCTGAGTCTAAGAAACCAAATCACCACCATCGCTAGTCTTTGCTCCACCGCCGGAATGCCTCTATCAGGTAAACATGTGCCCCTCAATTTTTATTTTTTTTGTATTATAGGATTATTTTTGTGTATTCCATTATCTGTTTCATTACTTGTTGCAACTGCTTCTGTTGGAAGAGTTTGGTGATGAATATTGTAAGTAAATCACATCGTAATAGAATGACAGATTAATAGGTGAATGATAACTTTATTGTATACATTGAGAAAGATGTTTTGATTCTATTGATAATGATGTTGTGATACGACATTTTTATAATATGAGAACACACCCTAAACAATTATATATGAAAGTATACTCGAATTTTGGAAGTTTCTCTTCCATGACCCTTTCGTTGAAAAATGAAATCGTAATAGGGCTAATGATCGAATTTCCAAGATGCATGAGGAGAAAATTTGCAAGTGTCCTCCATTAGTTCAACAATGCGCGCAACTAGTTTGCCAATACCCTCGACTTTGAACTCCAACCCAGAATATGAAGGGGTGTAACTGTACTCAGGATATTTTGGTCTAATCAAGTGTGATTTTGGTATATTTGAAATATTTATAAAAAAGTTACTCAGTACTACAGTTTGGTGGTATTCATCTTCTCTTAGAAGTGAAAGATCTTAGGTTCAAATCTCGAGGATAACTAATTCGATACCAAGTTAGGTTGTCCATTATGTGGCTTAGCCAAACTCCCCCTCCCATAGTGTAAAAATATCGACGTACTAAAAAAAAAAAATATATATATATATTATAAAAAAATAACATTTTCTAAATTAAGGGTGAAATTTTGACTGAAAATGATAAAAATTCCTATTTTTTGCGGTATGTGACTTTTGTCTAGCATCTCTTACTAAAACTAAAAGACTTAATTTTTGGTAAATAAAAATTAAGAAAATACCAAGAGACATTATCATGATGAAGAACTTGTATGGAAGTACTTTTAAATGATTGAAAAAATGCTTTTAGGGAGAATGTTTTTGAGTTCCAAAGTGCTTCTTCAATGAAACATTTAAGTACATTTTCAGAATTCACTTATGTGTTTACTAAAAGTTGATTCAAAAAATATTTTCACCAAAAATGCTTTCAATTATTTTAAAAGTACTTCTAAATTAGTCCTTATTTGTTGTTGTCCCGATGCATTTTTTCCCCTTCATATCGGTCTTCTTCCATTCCATTATTGCGTTTGGGTTTCGGAAGGACAACGGCATAACTACATGTTGAGATATACAAGAGGACCACAACGTTTTATACAAAAATAAACAAACATTCCACACAACAAAATACACAAAATATAAACTCGACAGCCAAACCACATAATGCTTATTACCAGATAGAAGGTAATGTTACACTTATTATATTTTTGTATCACATCCGTCGCACCTCTCTAATTGAGGTAGAGCCCACCAATACATATGGATCTCATCTTTATTAGAAAAAAAGTACAAATGTATAGTATGAAAAATATGGTAAAAATAACATTTTTACCCGATAAATAGTACAACGCTGCATCTTAAGTATTTCGTGTGCTTAAACCCCTTTCAAACTAATATTAATTTGTAAGAGTTCAAACGATAATTAACGCAGCATAACTTATAGCGCCAAAACGAGGCCAGGCAGAGACTTGTCATCCGAGAGCTTACTCTGCCATACACATTGGCAATTCCCCGGTTGTGATCTGATATGCGGTGAGGATAACTGGGTGACCGTGACGGACGTGTTGTTGTATTCCCTGACCTGGGTAAAAATCCCATCAGTGAGGGTCCACGCATGCACCCACGAAACGGAACGAGCCACGTCGTATCCTTCAGCCAGCACCATTGATCCAAATGCAATGATCGAGAGAGGGACGAATTTGAACGATGAGTCATACGGTGGTGCACCGGTGAGTAGGCGGTTCAGATGCTGGTGAGTTGGGGGGCCATGGAACCACCACTCGAGGTGGGGCGCGAGGAGAAGGTGGACGACATCAACGTCCATGGAGGTTAAGGCTTGGTATAAAGCCGTCACTGTCGTTTTGTTTTTGGCTTCTTCGTAATCTTCTCCCTCCATCGGACATAGTTGAGAGTTTGCCAGGTCTGGAGCTCAAAGCAATATATCTCTGTGTGAGGGACTTGGTGAGTTAGGAATGTTTGTGTTTGAACCGTTAAGTGTTATGGCATTGGTGTTTATATAGGAGGAGAACATGGTTTGTGGGAGTTTGGACGGTTGCATGTGAGTATGATTGTATAAGACAAGAAATTTTCAGTGAGGTACTGCTAGGTATATTAAAATTTTAAATTAAATTTTGTAAATTAAATAATGTGATTGTTGATGATTGGATTATCACTAAAGTATTGATTAACGTGCTTATTTTTTATTGATGACACATTATTGGGTTTACAAATTTGGATCAAAAAATTTGGTCTTCTTAGCATTACCCTTAAAAATTT